GTGTATCAGTTGTGGGGGGAAGTCCTGGTCTCTTTTCAGCTTCAGTTCCTAGTTTCTTTGTCTATCATATGGAATAGCGTTGATCTTTCATCATCTCTACTTGATTTGCTGTTTTATATCTTCAAAGGGATGTCTTAAAGTACCAACCCCACTTCTCTTGAGTAGATTCTAACTCGTGCTGACCCTATATAGGGTTTCTAAGACTGTAAATCTTTACAGAGGCAGACACCTTCATCTTTGTCCCAAGAAGCAGCTGGTGAGTTTGAACTGACAACCTTGCAGTTAGAAATCCAGTACTTATATTATGGTGACACCAGGGCTCCTTGCTAAAAACACACTTATACTAATACTGCTTCATTAGCATAACAAATAAAACATACTTTTAACATAACAAATAAAACATATAAAAAATGGGATTAAAACTATAAGTATAAGGGTTAGGATTTAAGACACAATGAGGTGGGAGAAGCACAATTCAATCCATAACACATGGGAATTATGTGTCCTTTAAAGTTTTGCAGAACCAGTTTTGGTGTCCACTCACCCCAAGAAATTTCTTAGTGCATGAGTTTTTACTTGGTTGTTTTTGAGGAGTTTGCCTCTCTCTTACAAGATGTTTCAAATTTTGTTACATCAGAATTTATCCAAATTGTTCTTTTTAGACTAAAACATAGTGAATTTTGTGATGTGCCAATTTATATTTAAGAGAGAGATGTTTTCCTTGTGGTTTGGATTTAAAACTCTGTTTATATTTATCCATGAACTTGTTAATAATGATAGATTTAAATCCTTATTTTAATTATTCTATATGCATAGGTATAACTTTTAAATCACTTCAAAATTTTTCTTAGATTGAAATGAATTTGGCTTAAAACAACAGTGCTGAAAAGGACATTCGGAAAGCAATACCATTTACAACAGCCTCCCAAAGGTTGAAATATCTAGGAATAAATGTAACCAGAGCAACAAAGGACCTATACAAAGAAAACTACAAAACACTACTACAAGAAACCAAAAGAGAACTACAAAAATGGAAGAATGTACCATACTCCTGGATAGGAAGACTTAACATTGTGAAAATGTCAATACTGCCCAAAGCAACATTATATTTAAACATATAACGAAATCCCAATCCAGATTCCAATGACATTCTTCAAAGAGATGGAAAAGACAATTACAAACCTTATATGGAAAGGAAAGAGACCCAGGATAAACAAAACCCTGCTTAAAAAGAAGAATAAGGTTGGAACCCTCTCACTCCCCAACTTCAAAATTTATTGCATGGCTACAGTGGTCAAAACTGCTTGGTACTGATACAATGAAAGATACATTGATCAATGGAAAAGAATTGAGAATCTAGAAATTAACCCATCCACATACCGCCAACTGATTTTTGACAAAGCACCTAAATATAT